AAGAGACTGTGCAGCGTATTGAGGTAAAAGTCACAATGCAAGATGAAAAAGTGGAAGTAACAAGAGCAACAGAGTTAGAACAAAGGAAGACATATGCAGAAGCTGTGAAGAAGCTGGAAAAGAAAATAGAAGCGCTGTCCGACACACCAAGACCCACCAGTGATGACCCGGAGGCAAGTTTGGCAAAAACAGTCGGCAGCTTCTTTGATAAAGAGAAGAGAAGAAACAACATTGTGGTGCATAATCTTCCTGAAAGTTCTGCCCAAAACTCAAAGGAGAGAGCACAGGACGATGTCAAGAAAACTAAGAGTATGATTGAAGAGGAGCTGCACATCAAAGTGAACATTGTCAGGGCCTTCAGGGCAGGTAAGATCCAGCCTGAGAGGCCTCGTCCCCTGATTGTCACACTGGAGGATGAAGAGAAAAAATGGGATATACTCAAGCAGGCACCTCAACTGAGGGGTCATCATGCATATGGTAATGTGTACCTGTCACCAGATCGCACTCCAGAAGAAAGGGAGAAGGACAGGAAGTTACGTCTTGAGGCAAAGAGACTAAGGGAAGAGGGTAAGGTTGTTCGCATCCAAAGGGGAAAAGTGGTGGTGATGCACGATGCAGGGGCAGCAAACGTCCGCCACAACAACGAAAGAAGCGGAGTCTGACTAAGTGGTCAGCCCATTGAGGAAGTCTGCGGCCTAGCTTACAGATATTTTGCATGTCCAGATCCAGAGGGTGCTAAAACTGCTTATGATGCATGCTTGAGGCTTCAGCATGGGCATGTCTGTGTCTGTGATGCATGTAAATTTTCAAAAGCAAAGGGGCATGTAACTAACTTGTCACAGGAGCAGGACACTGTGCATACTGATCGACCAAAGAAAGAACCAATTTGTCTGGAAAATGTGACTCAATTGAAAATAATGTACACAAATGCAGATGGTCTTCCAAACAAGCTGGATGAATTGGCATTGCTGGCTGAAACCTGTGCATGGCCAGATGTGATTGTTTTGACAGAGGCTATCCCTAAAGCTCAGATAAGGCCACTCTCACTTGGATGTTTTGCAGTTGGAGATCACTATGTGCCCTATTTAAACTTTGATGCAAGTCAGCCGGGACTGGGTGCATCAGGTAAGCGGGGCATTGTGATACTGGTGAAGGAAGGCATAATGGCATCAGAGATTTGCTTCCCTGGATTATTTGAAGAATCTATGTGGATGCATATTGAACCAGTTAAGGGTGAACTCCTCATTCTGGGAGCCATCTACCGTAGCCCTAGTTGTGATGGGCCATCATCAACAGATGCCCTCTGTGAGTTAATGAAAACAGTATGCCAAAGTAACCCAAGTAGCATAGTAATTACTGGCGACTTCAACTATCGTGAAATCAATTGGAAGTTGGGAAGATCTGAAGCACCTGATAGCCATTACACCCACAAGTTCCTTCATACTGTGGAAGACTGCTTTCTCACACAACATGTAGAGGAACCAACCCACTTTATGCCCAACAAGTCACCGAGCACTATTGATCTTATCTTCACATCAGAGGAGGGTATGGTGGCAGATCTCAAGCACTACTCGCCTTTGGGAAATAGTCATCATGATTGTCTTGTATTTAATATCAGATGTAAGACTGAACTGATCAAGGGCAACACTCAAACAAAGGACTTTAAGAAGGCGGATTTTCTATCGATGGCACAGGCTATCCAAAACTCTGGTATTATTAGCAGACTGCAGCTCTGTGATGCTGATTCAGGCTGGGAGGAACTCCTGGCATTGATGCATGAGGCAGAAAAAAGGCACATTCCCTTAAGAAGAGTACTTAAGAGGAAGCGTCAACCATACACCAACAGTGCTCTTCTGCGTGCAAAAAGAAATAAGGACAGGTTGTATAAGCTGTACAGGAGGTCGTCATCTGAGCAAGATAGGTTTGAATTTAAGAGAGCAAAGAATATGCTAAGAAACTTGACCAGAAGACTGAGACAAAACTACGAAAGCCAGCTAGCAAATCATGTGACTCAAAACCCTAAGGTCTTCTGGAAGTATGTTGGCTCAAAGACAAAAGTGAGAGCAAGAGTTGAGACGCTGTTAAGAAGTGATGGGACCAGTGCTACCACAAGTGGAGAGAAGGCTGAGGTATTGAATACCTTCTTCAGCAAAGTGTTTACAGATGAGGACATCAGCAACATCCCAGAAGTTGATTTGAAGTTCACGGGAGAGCCACTCACCAGCATCAGGATACAAGAAGATGAGATCAGAAGGAGACTAGCAGCCCTGAACTGTAGCAAGTCCCCAGGTCCCGATGGACTCCACCCGAGGGTGCTGAAAGAGTTGGCCACCCCTCTCTGTACAGTTTTCAAGATGATATTCCAGCGCTCTATTGATACAGGAGTCCTCCCAGCTAAGTGGAAGGAGGGAAATGTGGTCCCGATTTTCAAGAAGGGAAACAGAGGTCTGCCTGGCAACTACAGGCCAGTAAGCCTCACCTCCATTGCTTGTAAGCTGCTAGAATCTTTTGTTCGAGATAGGCTACTGGAGCATTTCCTTGAAAACGACCTACTTACCAATGACCAGTTTGGGTTCCTGCCTGGAAGATCTTGTGCCCTACAGCTACTGTTGGTGATTGAAGAGTGGCTCACCATCCTGGACAGGAGAGGTGCTGTGGATGTGGTATATCTGGACTTCCAGAAGGCGTTTGATCGAGTGCCCCACCAGAGACTTCTCAGGAAATTAGAAGCATATGGCATTGGAGGAAACCTGCTCCGCTGGGTATCTGCCTTCCTAGCAAACCGGAGGCAGAGAGTTGTGGTGGAGGGCGTTTGCTCGAGCTGGACGTGGGTCAGCAGTGGCATTCCCCAGGGCTCAGTACTGGGACCATTGTTGTTTCTAGTCTTCATTAATGATCTCCCAGATGCTGTCAGAAGCCGTTCTATGCTTTTTGCAGACGACACCAAGCTCTACCAGGAAGTGACCACCCTTCAGGACAAGGCTCTCATGCAGCAGGACATTGATGCCTTGGGACGCTGGGCAGACAGGTGGCAGCTCCCCTTTAACCAAGATAAGTGTAAGCTAATGCACTTAGGGTCCTCTAACGAGCACTTCAGCTACCTGATGAACGGTTCCACTCTAGCTCAGGTGCATATGGAGAAGGACCTTGGACTCGTCATTGATGAAGACCTTAAGTTCCATGAACAGGTGGCGGCTGCTGTGGGTCGTGCGAACAGAGCTCTTGGACTGGTGAAGAGGGCTTTCAAAGCCCTAAACAGTCATTCTCTGCCTCTCCTCTACCGGACTCTGGTGCGTCCTCACCTTGAGTATGCAAATGTGGTGTGGGGACCTACATTCAGATCGGACCAGGATGCCATTGAGAGGGTCCAAAGAAGAGCAACTAAGCTGGTTCGTCCATTGCGTCACCTTCAGTACCAGGATCGACTTCGAGCCTTGGACCTCCCCTCCATGTACTATAGAAGGATGAGAGGAGATATGATAATGGCGTACCAGATTCTGACAGGATGCCTGAGAGTGAAAGTAGCCGACCTTCTGCAGCTCGACACCTCAGATCGAACGCGTGGTCACCATCTGAAACTGAAGAAGAGACGAGTGAACTCCCATCTTCGCCAGACCTCTTTCTGTCATCGCATAGTGGACAGCTGGAACAGTCTCCCTGCAGATGTTGTCGCGGCACCGAACTTGAACACATTCAAGAACCGTCTTGACAGGCTGTGGGTGAACAGGAAGTATACCCTGCGAACTGATTAAGCATGTGGTGCCAGGATGAGCCAAAAGCTACATGGTTGGTGTAAGGGAGAAGCAAATGACCGGATTTCCTACAGGTCCTTTGTTGACCGTCCTAAAAATCCGTAACCACTATTCGATTCTATTCTAAGAGCGTTAATAGGGCTATCAAATGCGCTTTTCCGCGGCGCTGTAGCTTTATTAGTTTTCGAGCTGTGCATCGATTTGTTGAAATTTGTCGACATCTAACCTACAAATCAACAAATTTTGGCCTTCAATGACCCCTGGTGGCCTGACCTTTGACCTGACCAAAAAAGTGACTGAAGTGACCTCTTCCTTACTTTTACACTCTTTCATACGCCACCGTTCCCGTATCGCTACATGGCCCAGGAGCTGAGTTAGAAGGGGGTGTTCAAACATCCCCCCCCCCAACAAGCAGGGCGTGGAAATCCAGGATCCCAGCGGGACGCGGGTTAACCTACTAGGAGAGTTTTTTACCTACCACTGGCACTGGTGACATCAATGGCATCTGCCTCAAGTCCAGAACATGCCTGATAACCTGCCTTGGTCTTCTGTCATTTTGATTTTGATACCTTCACAAAGCCTAAAATCTGCTTTAACATGAACAGTTTGCCTTTTGTACTCACCCTGTATATGTCTTCTTAATGCCTTTGTGTCTCCTGCCATGCTGGCATATCAGGCGCTGCCCAAACACTACTTTGCGACCTTTTCCAGCAGGCAAAAGCTTCTCACAATTCAAGCTTGAGCATGTTAGCTCTGAGAAGATTACTTTCCACTTCTCAAAGTCCTCCCTTTCAAACAAGTTTACTCGTAACCTCAGCTCATCGTCAATTTTAGTGCCTATAACATTCACAAATCCTTGGGTCTTGAAGGCAGGCGACGAAACTGCTTCCTCCACTGTAAGCGGCATCCCATTCGGCTCCAGCACCTCGCCTTTATGTTTTACAGCCTTGGCCTTTGCCTTTACTTGATCCTACCAAAATGTAAACGCCGTCTTGACCAGAAGGCAACTCAAACTTGCAGTCAGCCTTGAGTCAGCCGTCACTAGTCATCACGCGCGACCTTGCGCGCGACGACCCCGTAACAACAGTTTACGTAAACACTTCCTATATGACAAAGACAAAAGGACAAAACAAACAGAACAACTCCACAATCCTCATGCTTCTTGCATTTTCCCACGCTCGGCGCCTATAGTAGTTCGGAGTTCTACAACCTTGCTCGGCACACGTTCCTCCAAGTCCCGCTTCTCACCTTCTCACCCAAGGCCGTATAAGTTTTCTCACCCCCCAACCCCAATAACTTATACGGCCTTGTGCGGCCTTGTCCCCAAGGCCCCCAAGTTCTCCTCCCACGGTCTAGATTCACGCTAGATCAAGCCCGCTGGATCTTTCTTTCCCCATGCGTCCGCGATTTATTTTACTAGTTTAGGTTGGTACGAGATCGAAGTTTCATTTGATTAAAATAGAAAGCAAAACTTGTTTTTGTACATAAACACTAAAGCCATTGTGATTCTAAATATAGGGATTTTGTACAAATTATCACCTAGTTCCGCATAGCGCCGCTAGGGACTCTGCAAATTGGAACTCTTGATTCCAAACTTGTATCAAGCTTGTGACGATCCCGCAGATCTTATGATGTAATGATTTTTCAGCCTTTTCAATGGTGACACCGCATATGACGTAATTCATTGAAAAATTAATTGAACTTTGTATGTTAAGACTTCTTGTGTCAGGTAAAATAAGGCACTGTAGCTAGAGACAAGCCAAAAAAATTATGAAGCAAATCGTAACTACATGGTTTTATCGAATTTTCTCGACAGAGGTTTTCAATTGACGTCACTTGTGAAATGACGTCACTGGCTTTTTATGCCTTCGGCACCTACCTGATGGTAACCGAAAATGAGCCTTGATTGTTGAGGTGTGGCTTTTGTGAACTGTTTGGGAGTCGGATTGCCGATATTTTTTTGTTTCTATCGGGTCTTCATAGAAACTGGTGAGTTTGAATTTATCACATCAAATTAAAACGTTGTATGAGACACGTTTTGACGGTGTCGGAATTCTTCCGGTTTATGTTGGTCGCCTATTTTTGTTGCGCCGTTTTCGCCTCTTCTGAGATGGATGATTCATTGTCATAGGTTTCATGTAGGTAATTCCACACTGAGATCGTCGAAGCATTGGCGGAATAAGGTCTTAATATCATGACCCTGTTTCACAGCTGGGTGGTGTTTCACTGATGCTGCCAGCACACTTGGCAATTTGGGTTTCCATGGAAACATCAACAAGCCCATAGTTCCAACATTGACACTAGGTACCACAAGTGTGACGTCAGCTAGCGAAATGCGCTGGCAGTGACAGTGAAACACCACCCTGGCAGACAGCTCTAACATCACCATCTTGGTGATGTCACAGACCATAAATGGTGATGGCAGGATATTCTGTGAAATGCCCCTACAGAGGGACGACGGTGAAAACAGGGCGCCTGGGGCGATTTGATCAAGGCTCGTGAAATTCACACGTGACGTTTACCCAGCGTTTACCGTGTAGAAGGCCAACGAAGGGGGAGAAGTTCCAAATGTCACGTGACTAATATGCCCTCCAGCGCCCTGTTTTCACCGGTGTCCCTACAGAGGGTGGATAGTGAAAACAGGGCGCCCAAGGGCATGTCTAGTCACATGATGACTAAGAAATTCCCCTCCTTCCTGTGCCTTCCACAGGCTAATAATCACATGCTTTGTGTCAGGGAATTTCATGAGCCTTGAATCCTTGAAGCCATGAAGCCTTGATCAAATTGCTCCAGGTGCCCTGTTTTCACAGTCCACCATACAGAGTGCAGAGTATTCTGCAGAGCAGCAATATACATTTGATTATCATCAATAGGAAATGATTTCACACAAATACCACTACAATACAGCACAGTGATTGTTTTCTTAAATGTATTGTGTGTCCGTGTGGTGGCATCTTGCCTTTTTCACATTATTGCATCTTCCATTACATCTGCTCAAGGAAGAAACATGCCACAGTTCAATGGCTTGGTGCACCATATTGAGTAGCAAAACAATCAGAATCACAAAAATACATCATGCCATTCTGTGGCAAAATGTTCTGCTGTGACATCTTACTCTGGAAGCTGTGCCCCTTGTTTTGCCCAATGATGCCTATTGCCTATTGTGCAAGCATCGTGGAATAATATTTCAAAATATTTCACAGTGAAACACTGAAACAGGCTGCATGCTCTCAATAAAGCAGATTGGTTTTGTACAGAGGAACAGGGATATGATTTTGCAGTAGTTTACTGATGTGGTACCTATTTGTTCTGAATCCAGAGTGCATTGTTGGCCAACAACTTTTAGCAAAAGCATTTTTTGAAGCACTGTGCATACTGATAACTGCTGCATATCTCATTGCATACCTACCTGGAATGTAGCTTATGAGGTGCAATCACTAATACAGCCCCTTTGAGGAATAAAATGCTCAAAGCTGTGTCTTATATGGCCAGTTACCAGCAAAAGCATGCATAATTACCTACTGATTGAAGAAGCTCAAATACCACAAAAAGTGATGCATATTGCATTGATTACCTATTGATGGAAAACAGACACTGTTCTGGTGAAATTATAGGTGCATTGTTGCTCCATAAATGATTCAGTGCTGTTGATTATCAATATACTTTATTCAGCATGCTGCAGTTCCTTTTCTTTACATTGGTTGAATTTGTGTGAACTATGCTAATCTCCAGTGATATGCTGATATACACTAGTAATTAGTTTCCATATTTAGCAAAATTGGCAGGCATGCTTACAAACTTAAGGAGGCATAAACAGTGAATGAAGATTGCTCACTACGTGAGTACTTAATCTAAAAAAAAAAACTGAATATAAAATAGTATCACTAGCCAATAGCTTTACAGCCAATCACAGGTGTTCTAAGATGCTAGTGTGGACAAACATGAAACAACCAATGTAATTTGTACTAAATCTAACCTAATCGTACCTAGCTTAACCTGATCTAACCTGACCTGATCTAAGCTGACCTGAACTGAAACCTAGCCTAACCTTGCCTTAGCCTAAATCAAAGCCTAGCTGAGTCATTCCACTCTTTGGTACCTTCACATGAGGTCATGTTACATCTAGCTGAAGATGTCAAAGAAAACAGTGGGTCAGTAGGACGTATTTGAAGCAGAAGCACAGGTACTTATAGGTGCTAACTAAAATGGCGCAGTAGGTTGGATCTGGGTGATTATGCAGGAATTTTTGTGAGTTTTGATTACTGTCGGGCGTCGGTAAATGTTTTTAATGAAGTGCTGTTTGGAACAAGTATGAATTAATTAATGATATTCACTAAAAAGGTGCAGTGATGTTGATACCTATACCTCACCACCAGCATGGAAGTTTTGCATCAGTGCTTGCTACAGGAACATGGAACATGGTCTAATCTGGAACATGGATGTTCAACAACAATTTGGTCTAATTGTAGGAACCTGGTCTAATGGTACTGATTGTTTAACAGGCTGGCACGCACCTGGCGCCCGGGCAGCCTCCTGCTGTAGGCGATGGCCGCCATTCGTAAGAAGCTCGTGATCGTCGGCGACGGTGCCTGCGGAAAGACATGTCTGTTGATCGTCTTCAGCAAGGACCAGTTCCCCGAGGTGTACGTGCCGACCGTGTTCGAAAACTATGTGGCCGACATCGAGGTCGACAGTAAACAGGTGCGTGCTCTGGGGCCCGGTGTCATTGGCTTTATCCGGAGGGGGGTTTTGTGTCTCCTGTCTTACTCTCCCAGCTGTCCGTGTCGCTGACGTAGGTAGTGAGTATCGCCCAGGACGGTCGGATGCCCCTCGGCTGCTCCCGGGACGTATAGTTACGGTCAAGCTCGGTGTTTGTGCCTAGTGTTAATCAGCTCTGATTTGCGGCTGCCGCGCTAATCCTCGTTTTTTTTTTTTGTTCCTGTGTTCCTGTGTTAGTCCGAAAGTCTGTGTAGATTGTAGAACTTTGATGACCATGCAATGCATCATTGTAGGTATCTGATGACTTTGCACACCTGATTGAATTCCCTAGCCACATTGTTCAACTCAATCACATGCAGATGACCAGCTGATGGTATGTACTAGATGGTAACCCCCCATACCTGGTGTATTTACCGTGAACCGACCGTGACCAGTGCTATGTATCTGCCGTGGACCACCGCCCGTGACCGTCGCTGTGTGTACCGTGGGCCGCCCGTGACGCCAGTTCTCCGTGTCGCCACCAGGTGGAGCTGGCGCTGTGGGACACGGCCGGACAGGAGGACTACGACCGGCTGCGGCCGCTCTCCTACCCGGACACGGACGTCATCCTGATGTGTTTCTCAATCGACTCACCCGACTCGCTGGAGAACATACCCGAAAAGTGGACACCCGAGGTTAAACACTTCTGCCCAAATGTGCCCATCATTCTGGTCGGAAACAAAAAGGTGGGAACGTGGACGGGAGTTGTTACAAGTGTTCATTGTGTGGTGATACACGCACGAGCTGTTAACACTATGAATAGCTCACCAATGCGATCGTCTGGTTGTGAAATTATTGAATAACCTTTCGTTAAAAGTCAAGACGTTTCAGTGTATATTTTCAGTTTCCTTTGCGTACCGATTCGGAAGCGTAAAAAAGAATGCAGCCTGTCATCTGCGTTAACCTGGTTGATATGTGAATATTCGAATAAGAATTTCTTAGTCTTGACAGGTCAGTCACAGTCACGGTGGAATGTTTCCCACCCCGCTGATTACATATTATCCGGTGAACTCCCCGTTTACCTGGTCTGACGTGTGTGCGCTGGCCGGCAGGACCTGAGGAACGACCCCAACACCATCAAGGAGCTGAGCAAGATGAAGCAGGAGCCGGTGAAGTCGGAGGACGGCCGCACCATGGCCGAAAAGATCAGCGCCTTCGCCTACCTCGAGTGCTCGGCCAAGAGCAAGGAGGGCGTGCGAGAGGTGTTTGAGACGGCCACCAGAGCTGCCTTGCAGGTCAGAATCTCACGGGTCGGGGTGGTTCCAGGATCTTAACATACCCTAATTCGTATTTGAGCGTGTATGCTGTGTTACGTTGTAGGGAACGCCCATTGCTCACATTGTTTGGCTTTCTTCGTGACACGTCAGTTCATTATTTTCATCCAGAAATTTTGATAGCACTTTGTCTTTTCAAATTGCCTGGATAGACTCGGTTGTATGATACACCGCCGACATTCGTCTCGTCCGTGTGATCAGAATGCTGGGACCTCTTCGGCCAGTCATTGACCGGCCATCGCTGTCGTTGCAGGTTAAGAAGAAGAAGAAGAACCACTGTAGGCTGTTGTAGGCGCTGCTGTGTGCGTGGCTCGCTCGGCCACCTTCACCGCCGCCGCCCGGGGCCGCGCTCTGATTCAATAATTCGGGGAGTGCGCGCGGCGGCCGCCGCTTCCAGCCCCGTACCGCGTGTATCTGTATCCGCGCTAGTGGCTCGCGCGCTGCCCGCCCCGCCCGCTCGCGCTGTCTGTCCGCTGCTTAGGCGCTGCAGCTACACGCAGTGCCGCTGTGACCTGTTCCAAGTCCGGCGAGCTACAGAGAGAGAGGAAGGGAGGGAGGAAGGCAGAGAACCGGGAGCACGAGTCAGCCGCTGTCTCCGCACCGCGCACGACCGACGCGCATGTGGCATTGTGTAATCAGTATCCTCCGTATATATCCAAAACTACCGTTTAGTCGTATGCGGCGCTTTGTCACAACTGCGGCGAGATGCTGAGATGTTTTGATATTTCCATGGATCCTTCGTACCAATAAATTTATTTTAAAACCATGAAATGTGTTGCGCTTTTTGTGGGAGCTTTGCATTGATTCATCCCTTAATACCACATAAACCGTTAGGGTTTCGGTGCATTTCGATGCGTGCGCCCGAAGCAGCTGTCGGAGCCGTCAAACGAGGGGGGTGCTGCTCACGAGCATCTGAATGATTACGTTCACATCGAGCCACTTGGTCCGGGGTAATCACGGTAATGAAAGGCTATCACTCAGAGGCGGCAGTGGTAGCACTTTTGTTACGGCGAATGCTATAAGTACCAGTCGTAACAATTTGTTATCCATCCACGCCACGCAGTGGCGTGGATGGATGAAGGGTGGTCTTGTGTGACGGTGGTGGAGAACGGTCGGTTGGGAAGAACGGCTGGCGTTGTTCATCACCCAGCTGCGGATGTGCTTTCCGGGGTCCTCTGGATGCCTCGCTGTGTCCGCCCCTGACCGTCCACCTGCCCAGCTGTGCCGCCTGACCCTTCGCGACGTCAATCAGGTTAGGGGGTCCGACTTCACTCCTCCAGTTGCTCATTTCACCCCCAGTCCTCCGTTGGTACTGTCTCGTTGGAGGTTTGTTAGCCATTTTTGTCCGTTCCTGCTACTGAGTGAGCCCCGCTCACATCCCGTAAAATCATCTCACCCACAATGGGCCTCCCTGACTCCAGTGACTCAGTGACTAACCCTACCACCACAGATCACCCCGATCCTGCCGACCCAAACGGCACACTGGCTGCTCTGATTCCCGCCGGTCGAGAGGACATCACCGTCGAATGGCTGGAGTTTGTGCTGAGCCGGCGCTCGGGCCCGTCCACCCCCGGTAAGTTGCAATTTTCGGTGACTGCCGGTGCCGAGCCGGGGACAAACTACGCCACCGCTGTGTACGCCGTGCACGTCACCCGACACGCCGATCCCGCTGACGGAGAGCGGAAAGAGGACGAGAGGAGGCTAATCGTCAAACTCCCGCACGACGACCCGTTCGGCCGGTTCTTTTGCTTCGCCACGCGCTGTTACGAGCGTGAAATTCTGTTTTACGATCGGCTGGCGCCGGCGCTTGAGTCTGCACTGGGTCGGGAACTGGCAGTGCCGCGCTACTACCACGGAGCTACGGACGGCCGAGGAGGTGTCGTTATGGCCATGGATGACCTGCGCGCGCTAGGATACCGCATGCCGGCGGCGGCCAGTCGGCTGGACGAGCACCATGTGCTACTGGTGGTGTCCGCTCTGGCTGAAGTAGTGTCCGCCGGGCTGGTGGTTCAGCAGCGTGGTGGTCCACCGGCCGAACTACTGCGTCATCCACTGCTCAACATCGGCTCCATGTGGGCCGGGCCGCGGATGGAAGTCGACCTCATCCGTGCCGGCCTGCTGGGCTACATCGGCTTCCTGCGCCACTACCCGGAGCGGCGCGCCGCAGCCGCCAAGCTGGAGACGCTGCTGGACTCGGCGCGGGAGCTGATGGTGGAAGGGATGCACGCGGGCGGGCGGCTCCGCTCCATCTGTCACGGAGACCTCTGGAAGCTTAACATGATGTTCCGCTACCCGTCTGAGAAGGACGGCGCGCCTGACGCCGTCATGCTGCTCGACTGGCAGCACTGCCACTTCGGTAACTTCCTGGTGGATCTGTTCTCCGTTCTGGTGAACAACACGGACCGGCAGTTCCGGCGGCGGCACACAGAGGGCGTGCTGCGTCACTTCCACGGCCGGCTGGTGGCGGCGCTGGAGGCAGCCGGCCTCAACGCCGACCAGCTGGGCCTCGGCAGCTGGGAGCGGCTGCGGGACGACTACCGGAGCTCCATGAAGGCCGCCCTCATCAGGGTTATCTTCGACGTGGTGCTGCCGCTCGCTGACGCCGGTAAGTACTAAGTGGTATAGCATGGGACCTGCTGATATTTGATAAAAGTCTCATTACAGCATCATAGCTCAAGTTCTTGATAAGTGATGCACTGCAATGTTCTTTTTAGCAGCCGACGTGACATTCTCTGTAATAATCAGCCCCCCCCCCCTGAATTGGTTTTCAGGAGTCATCATTGCCCATATCTTCTTTCCACTTGTCATCTTGTGGCTTTTGATCGTAGCTCAGTGCTACCTAGTGATTGAGCTTAAGTATCCAACCCTCCTCTCATTTCTCAGTCTCCCTGCTCTCTTCTCTCCTCGTAAGAGCCGGCCCACCCTTCTGACCACCCCTTGCCGTCCCCGTCAGACGCCACGAGTGGAGCACCGGAGGGCGCCACACCCCAGGAGCTGGTAGACCGACTGGTGGCGGCCATGTCGGTGCGCACCTCAGACACACAGCTGGAGACGCTGCTGCTCGAGCTGCTAGACGAGATGGAGGAGGCGGGCGTCCTCTGACCGGAGGGATGATGGGATGGCGTCACGGTGAAAATATGACGTCACGTGATATGAAATCAATAGACGATAGAGCCACGAGGTGTGCTGATAAGAAGGGGGAATGCCGGTGATACCTGACCAGTAACAACCAGATGAAAATAACCACTTGTCGATCATGACCTTGTATTGATGTAAGAATATCGGATCGCGCGTGAGTCCCTGGTCTTGTCACTGGGTGCATTCCACAATACAGTCAATCACACGAGTGCCGAATTCAACTGGAATGGTTGAGCCCCAGCCGTCCACTTCAGCTAAAACTACGCTGAATAATATCAATAGCAACACACAACACACGCCCCACAGGTAGCATCCCAGCGCTCAGCAACTGATTTCATACAAACACAATATATGCAAAATGGACACACACACGTCAAATTACGAAATGCCGGATCTCCACAAACAAGTTTTAGCCGTCAGTTGGTTCACGGCACCTCAAAACAAGTCAAAATAATGTAGCTCAAATTATATAGCTTTATTTGGCAGTACAGCTATGCACACCTAAGTGATAAATTTGTGGCCAAAATAATAAGTGTGACGGTCTGTTTTGCCTAAAACATAAGTATAAGCAAGTACGTGCGCAAAGATAAATAAAAGCCGACTGAGTATACAGGATATGTTGCACAAGACGGCTTCACATGCCAGGTTGTACTAAAACCATTATGCTGTATTTTGGCTACTGACACCTGAGCAGCACCATGTCCCTCCAACATCGTGTGACAAATCAGGAAGCAGTCCGGGCTCATTCGAGGCCAAATAACGTACACTTCCTAGGTACTTTATCAGCCTATTGTAACATTGTCGTCAAAAAGCTAGTCAATGGACCAACAAGGTCCAAGCTATTGCCATGCGCCATCATGATTTAGCAGCGAATATTGCACATGCAATCGAATACAGATTATAGCTCGATATCGGTTTGTCATCATGTATAAAACCCTGGTCAGCTGCAGAGCTAGAAAACGGTCAAATGCACTGGTGTGTCTTGGAGATAGCCAAGGCTACTGATTGGCATTGTCACCAATTGTAGTATGGCCGAAAACGGTAAAACAACCGAAGGCGAATAAAATTGGTCTCACAACATAAAACACTCGTCGATACAGCGCATCCTAGGATAACACAACTCAACCTAAAAGGTATTTATCACGAATCAGAGTTGTGATTGGTCCAAACACCGGGTCTCTGCCTCATAAGACTGTTCAAAAGGCGACCAGTATAGCCGATCTGGCCACGGACCCGGCGTGCACTGGCCGTAACAGGTAGATTAACGATGCGGTCCGTCTCCACTCTCCAGAGCGTTGCTGAGCCCGGTTCTGTATGCCTCTCAGTACCAGGTGATGGAATACCAGGGTGCTCGTGCTGCCCGTCCAAGGAGCCAGGCACGATACACGCCACGCACCCAGCCTGTAACCCTCCACACCCCACTGTCCCAGGACGGAGATCCCACTCACGACTGTTTTACTCCGTTCCCCACTGGCAAAGCTAGCGAGCGCAGCTGCTCCCGACGCCGGTCGTACTCGGAGAACCGGGTGATGGCGTACCTGACCACAGAATGATGACGTCATTGGACCAAACATGGCGGCTGATGGGAGGACGACACGGAGTGATGTGAGGAAGCTAGCAGACCACCTGCTAGGGAATAAGGACTTTGGTGCACTAGTACTTTCTAAGCAACACTCTTCGATGGTACTAGGAAGGACGGAGAGTCCAAGAAGAAAGGCAAAGGTTAGCCACGACGCAGAAGCAAAACATGACGTCTGTGGGCAATATGCAATTCAAGAGATAAACTTCACGTTTGCAAGGTTGGTACACTTGAGCAATGATCAGAGCTTTATCAATATCCTAGAACACCGTACCTCAGAAAGTCTCTCGCTACTAGAGCCCGAGAGAGGGCGCACTCACTCGAGGTAGTCGAAGTCGATGTTGGAAAACCGGGTCTGCACCAGGGCCCAGACGCCCCAGTAGAAGTGCGACAACAAAGAAAACTTGTTGGCCTGAAAACAGTGCACGACAATGTCATACATACTGAACTGCTTCATATGTTGTAAAAATCCTGGCTGAGATCAGCAAGGAAGTCCAAAATAAATGTGGTTCTGGTCTTTTTTGAGACAACAAGCTAGGTTTGTTTTGCTAAAATTGTGATCAAAATTTATCCCTAACCTTGACTCGAGCGCTTCGAAGACAACCAGCCCCGATACATCAATGTCATGGCACTTAAGCTGAATCTTGGGTAGAGCAGAGGCTTTCCTCGACATACACCAAACCCTCCACCCCACGTCTGTCAGGTAACGATACTCACCTGCACGTATAGCGTCTCCACCTGCAGATCAGTGGGCTCCACTGTCTGCCCATTCGGCTGAGGCGACTCTCCAGGCTTCAGAGAGAGGTAGGTGGCGAGGTAGCACCGCAGCCAGCGCAGCTGAAACTCCCGGTCCGGGAACAGGCTGTAGTCGACGTCCTCAGTGCCTGGGGAGGGACAGGTCGGGTCAGGTCAGGTCAGCTGAAACTCCCGGTCCGGGATCAAAGGCTGCGGTAGTTACCAAGTCCTCAGTGCCTGTAGCGAGGTCGGGTCGATTTAGTTGGAGACATGTTCCTCTCTGGAGACACATGATCTCTGGAGAGTGGAGACATGTTCCAATCTAAGGCCTTATCAAGAGGAAACTCACTGGGATATGTGAGGGTCCTCAGTCTCAGTCTGTTTACCAGGAAACATACAAAAACAAAGGATAGCTCCCAGGTGATACCAGTCGGCACCACAATTAATGTCTCGCGCGCCAAAGAAATAAAATAAAAGAAAACTATACATTCTACAAGTCTGGCCATTTTACACCGTCACCTTTTGAATACTGTTTTATCCGCCCATCCTCGCGTAACACACTGCCACCATCTCGGCATCTCAGTCTGCATCACATCCCTCATGCCCCCATTCTCAATCCCGTTCCCAGCACCACGACCTCCAACCGACTGCTCACCAGCGAACTCATTGAAGTGATTGCCGATGTCGAACGCCTGGTGGTTGACGCCGCCGTACTCGAAGTCGATGAACTTGACGCCGCGCCCGCCGGCCGCCACGATGATGTTGTCCAGCAGGAGGTCGTTGTGGCAGAACACCAGGGGAGAGCCGAGCTCCTCTAGCTCCTCCCGCAGCTGGCGGAGCTCTGTTCGGAGCTGGGCGGCCGACCGCAGCTCCGAGACGAACCTGGGGGCGAGACACCGACCACGGATCAGTGAGGGACACACACGGGCACACTACAGTCGTGGGGAAACAGCCGTTCAGAAGGGAAACACTTGTAAATGTCGCTCGCTTGGCAGAGAAATGTCATTTCAGAAACATGTCGTTCGAGAAAGTGGACGTAAAAAACAACAAAATTGTCCTTTAGCTGATACTTCTCACCAGTCCCGCATAGCGCCAAGCACAACCCTACAGCCTACTGGTTTTCATCACCCCTTAGCTCACATCCCACCCCAACCTTTCCTCCGACATCTCCCCAATATTCACCTCTTCTGCTGCCGGGGATCATCAAACTGTGTGGGCGCCAGGACCATCATCTTGTCCAGCGAGGCCCAGAGGCAGGACCGGCAGGGGTTGCTGCCGTCACCGGCGTCAGGTCCCAGTGGCGTGATCCGGTGCACGCGCGCCAGGGCGGCGGCCACCATCGCGAACACGTCCGGCGCTCGTACGGAGAGCTTGGTGACGGTGTGACCGGGCTCGAAGCCGTACACGATTCCGTTGGAGAAGGTGGCCACTAGAGGACGCGCGCAGCCGGCTCGGTGCATCATCTGACGACCGACGGATAGAGATGTCAGTGTGGGGGATGGGGTGGAGAGGACAGTGGAAAACCGGCTCTCCGGTTAGTCAAGATCAGGTTCACACAGGTCGCATGCCAATGATATACAGCAGACAGCCAAGTGCCAGACGTTGAAATGTTGGGACCCGGTGGACCCTGATAATGTTCACGTGGCGATCTCAGAAATCACATTCGTTGCTAAAATTAGCTTTGCAATGAACCCAATGCCACGAACCAGACAGCGACAGTCAGGATGTGCTTATCAGCCATGTTGCCATGCAATGGGCGAGTGATGTTTATTCACGCTATATTATCGGATTAGAACCAATTGATCTTAAGCCATCACTTGTGGCCACGTAAGGCAAACCAATAGATACTGTAGGCCGGATATCGGTCTCAAAGATAGTGACGTAATAGCCTTGGGTTGTTGAAAAGGTAGGCTTAGGATAGCTTTCGGCGACCAGCGACTTACATAGTGCTCCACTCAGTAGCTTCAGGGACTTCTCAGTGACCCCGGTTACTGATGCTCAGTAACCCGTGCTGACTCTCTCAGTGACCCAAAACGTGCATCTAAGTGACACCGGTGGCTAATTCATGACGCCAGTGCCCCTCTGCACTCATCTCAGCGCTCTCCTGCTGACCTGCATGTTGCGTTTCTCTGCGTCTCTGTCGATGAACCGATCGGTGCCGTCTCCATAGAGCCGGAACAGCAGCGTGGACTCCTGGTCGCCAGCGTGACAGCAGCTCACCAGGGTGTTGGTGAGACCGGCGAACGGCTGCCGGCACGGACACGCGCAGTCAGAATAAATACATCAGTAGGTGGAACTATGGTCAGAGTACCCAAATATAGGAACGATCCCATTTTTGGGAACGGAGTTCCCAAATATGGGAACGGGCGTTCCCATTTATGAGAACGGAAGGTAATTTTTCGGCCGTTCGCCCACTAAAACTCATTAGTGCATCACGTCTCAAAAAAGTGCACGCTAATTTAAGTATCTGCGAAGTCTCTATAAAATTATCTTTAATCTGACCGTTGAACAAGGAAATTGACCGTTGAATGATATTTTTAATGATTTTTTGAAATGACGGAATGGTGAAAACATGGGTTATACTACATTTAACATGCAATTTTAAGGAAAATGAAGCGTTTTTTACAGTTTGAGGTCAAGTATAATAATTTTCACCTGGTTATGAAGTTTCATACTAGCGACACCAGATGCTGACATATGCAAGCGAACACGCGGACAGTCCCGAGGTAATATTGTTGACATTTGGTGTCGAGGCGGACGACCGCGTAGAACGTGCGTGATTTTACCGAACTACTGTTGTAAACTCAGTTTAAGTGGTCGAAAATTATTCAGCTGTATTTTATCAGCCCTGAAAGACATATTTTATTTGGATGCTAGCTGTTTAGCGTTGTTTTATAAGGAGCGTCATGAGCGTGGTTTTTGTCTTCCGTGTTTCTAAGCATGATCGTTTTGGGGGAATTTCTCTTATATAGGTCGCTCTGTGTGGCTTATTTATAATTTTTATGCTGATTTCGATCATTCCTCGTGCCCATCCTACCAGGCCTTTTGCCACTTACTCTCATTAAGAAAGGAAAAAACTAGATTTTCATTGGGACTACGTGTTTTGAGGGTGCAACATATTCAGCGTTCCCATTTTTGGATACTTCCTTGTGCTCGTCAACTATCGGTGATAAACAGACAGGTGCTTGACATGTCTCCACCCTCGGCGCGGACGGTGGATATAGGTATGGAAGACCTTGTTGAACATCGCTGAGCGTTGTGAATTACGTAATCCTGCAGAGGGGGGCGTGCCCGCTGCGAGATCGACGGGAATAAAAGGGCAGAAGACCGGGCGAAACATGCGACGGTCTTGCCGGAAAGGTCATCTGATGATTGTTGCGTTAACAATAATTTGCGGCGTTGGACGTGATGCTTGTTAATGAAAAGAGCCCCTGAAAGGCGTCAGTGAAATCGTTCCCAATTTTGGGTACGCCGTTCCCATAATAAGGAACGCTTGCAGCGCCAGTGTACGAGAGCGTTCCCAAATTTGGGCTCGCGGCCCGGATGATGGACTGCTTTAGAAATAGGGGAACGATTTGAAACTACGATGGGCCTTACAATATCAAACTCCCTCCCAACAATATTGAGACAAATATCAGGCGGTTCACGATCGTTTTATATTTTTTGGACGTCATTTAACGGTTCTTTTTCTTGTTTTAAATAATGCCTACGTGGCGTTCCCATATTTGGGTTTATCGTTCCCAAACATGGGAACGAAAATGCGTTCCCGAAAATGGGTACGCTTGACCATAGTTCCGCCTACTGACATGGACCGAGACGCACACGCATGTCAGAACCAGTATAACGCCTTTTGGGGCGACTAACGGAGCGAGCGACAGGGTGGGCCTTGCACGTGCGAAATTGCGAGGGGGTATGTACGGTTCTCCAGTAAAAGTCTTGTTGGTTTTGCTTTTTGGGAAATATCTGGTCCTATATAATGTTCAAATGCATAAGTATCAACCCGAATTATGTGTATGCACATTTACCACGAGACTGTGAAATTGCATCGTTGTATGCCAAATACTTTCTGAGATATCCACCAAAAACCTCATTTTCTGCCGTTTGGGGTATTCTGGCCGCAATCTTCCTGGGATCGCCTATGACATCCATGGTGCCACCTAGCGAGAGGGACGCGGAAACACAGAATCATGAATGAATCGAGCGCGTAGTAAACGGTGTATGGAAGGGAGACTCGGCAGAGGCTATCCGGGTGGCCGGCGCGCGGCGCGCCCTTAGGCATCGGCCGACCCTTCGGACCGCGTGGGGTCAGAGGTCGCGCTCGGGAAGTCTCGGCTCTGGGTTTTAGCGCTGTGCAGTCAGGAAGGGAGGGGAGGATAGCGCTAGCCCGACTGACTAGTATCTCGGCTGATTCGTGTGGGGTGGAAGGGATCACAGAACAGGATGGTGGCTAGTGGTGGATGATGGGATGGTGGTTAGGTTAGTGCGTACTGCGAAAACGTAGCTGAACATGCTTTTTTCTTGGCAAACAACATGCAGCATAATGTGCGGGATTATGCCAGAACTCATACAAAAAGGAGCTAATATTTCGGCCGAGGGAGTGGATGAGTGCCGTGACAAAGCATGACGATGCTGCCAAAATCGGAATGCTTTTTTGCCCCCATTTTTTTTTTTAAACCTAACATGCAGCGCTTGATCCGAACTTAGAGGTCCCCGACTGACCTTAGACCTTAAAATCGCACCCGTCCGGTGCGCCACCTTTCCTTCAGGGGCGCTCTTCTTGGTTGTATCTGTTCTTACCAATAACTAAAGCAAATCGAGTGTATAAAAAAGGCATACCTCAAACACAGTTTTATTCACATCCGCTCGTGTGCATACTTGTTTTGACCTATACCTTCTCGCATTATAATATATCACTTCAGTGCTTAACCCTCAACGAAATTTTGGGTTTTCTGCATATACCCCGGCCGGGGGGGGGGGGCGATTACGACCCCTCTTCGTCTTTTTGCCCCTAATTGAGCTAGCGCCTTGCGGATAAAACTGAGCGCGTGCGTCGTATGAGATGCAGCAACTGGTACCCGAGTTGAACGTCTCAGGTCCACCGATAAACTCTGAGGTCAGTATAAGTGCTCCAAGTCGCAGGATCGGTTTTTGGTAAACAACTTCACCATAAGTGGTTACAGAGCCAAGATAATGGCACCATCGAGTTTTGCATGCTCAAGCGCGTCTATACGCTTTGTTTTTGTTGAGGTCAATTTAAGGTTTTTACCTCAGGTCATATCAGGGCAGAGCCACTCAGGCCACGAGGCTGGCTCAAGGAGGTCATATCGCTTCTTCGATTCGGTAGGTCCTTACAAGTCCACTGGTGGCTTCCCGACTCGCTAGCTCAATTTGATCGGGACTTTTTGGTGAAATCTCCTGTGACCTTAGTGACGTCATAAATGAAGTCGCCTAACTTTAAGAATGGAAAAGTGAATGCTGGGGCTTGCAAATATTGTATGAAATCGCGAATTCATGCGCTTGAGACAGCTTTAGATGGCTCCCGGCGCCAAAATAACAGTTTTCATATTTTGCGTTGCGTGACCGAGAGGTTGCGTGACCGACCTGACTTCAGGTGACTCTTAAGAAAATACGAGATAGCTACATACAAGTTGTGAGGCCTCTGGGAGATAGTACTAGATCATATAAGCTTCATTCCCCGTTGAAAAGTCCCCTGGCACGAAGGGTGCTGCGACGTCGCGACATTTTGGGACCTTACAGAGGTTCACTTTTGACGTCATTGGTCAACGGCCTGACCTTAACCGTCGCACTTGTAGGAGGGTGTCGAACAGACCTCCTACCAGGGCTGCGGAGTCGATGGATTTTCGGCGACTCCGACTCCGACTCCGACTCCGGCTTTCAAAAACCAGCTCCGACTCCGACTCCGACTCCGGGCAGAATTGTCGACTCCGACCGACTCCAACTCCCGACTCCGACTCCGCAGGTCTGGCAGGGCTGCGGAGTCGACAGATTTTCGGTGACTCCGACTCCGACTCCGGCTCGGGTTTCTAAAATCGACTCCGACTCCGACTCCGACTCCGGTCACAACTGTCGACTCCGACCGACTCCGACTCCGACTCCGACTCCGACTCCGCAGCCCTGCCTCCTACTCTCAGTTTTTCGCAAATAACTCGCGCAAAAAGCGGCTGATTGCGACGAAACTTTCAGTACCCTCGAGTTAATCAATATTACGCCTACCCTATAATTTGCATGACCCTGGCTCAAAAGACCTTTGACTTGTGACCTGTTTCCGAGACCATGTTTGGCCGGAATCGCGTTTTGGCGTATTTCGAGTAGAGCGCGTTTTATTGTCTTTTTGTGGCTTTAAGCGATCAAACATGTGAAAGGTTGATCCCATGGATTCTAGTGGGTATCAAGGTCACGTGAAGGTCAGTCAGGTCACTGACCTTTGATGACCTTTGTTCACTCTTTCGAGTTCTACATGTTTCTAGGGTAGATTTTGGAGTTGATTTCGCATTTAGAAACCGTTTGAACATTTAAGAAGTAGTTTTGGTTCCCTCGTAACATGTGACCTGACCAGACCTGGCCCGACCTGGCCTAAATGCACAAAAACATCATCTGTGATCAAAACTAACTTGAATTTCGTGATCAGCACCCCGCAAAACCCTATAACAGCTTCACTTTACGAAGCTCTACAGGTCCCGATTCCCCGACTTTTGAGTTATATTGACCTGTCAACCAATGACCTAGGACCTTAAAATTGGGTATCATCGGCCTCCTCTCGTCACGGGCAACACGTTCTTATTCCGCGAAGCTCTAGCTCGATTAGGGGCTGAACGGCAAAGGGGTCCAACGGACCCTCCTACCCCCCCCCCTTTACGATAGACGCTGGCAAAAGACCAATATGGGCGAGGGTGAAAATACAGATGCTGTCACAAAAATTCAGCTTGAATCAAAGGTCAGGCTTGCCAAATTTCAGCTCTCGCAGCTATCAACAAAAAAAAAACACATGTGGAGGCGGCACCCGCCTCCCTCCTCCCCCCTCTCCTCTCGGCCACTGCCAGCGAGGTTTTAAGCGTATCATACATGTTACAAAGCATCATATCAAGATGACACATCCCAGCAGCCATATGCACTGAACAAAAACTTATTACCCACGCTAGTCTATCGGCACCATAGCACATGGTCGAGACTGTCGTCAGCCACGGATGCGCACTCGACCAACCCTCTGAGCCCGTTGACTGCGGGTGACCTTGACATGTCAAGCCTGATCGGCGGCCGGCCGCTGTCGTGCGGTCGTTACACGCGGAGGGGAGGGAGACACAAAGTTCTACGTTATAGCTGACCTCTGACCTTTCCCTGCGCCCTGGTCACTGACCCCGCTCCATGTCGCTGGGCGGTGGCATGGCGGTGGAAACCGGTTCTAGCCTCTACACATGCCACCATTCTAACCCTCCCCTCCCCACGCTACTACGCGGCGTGGAGTACGCTCGTGCGTAACTGGGCGGAGCAAGGGGTCACGCGATACAGGGGCGGAACTGGTTGCCCTCCCGCTCGCCGAGCGACCAACGACTAATACCCTGGAGAACCGTACCTCCAACTGACTTGTGCACGGCACCCTACTAACCGGTCTCTAGCGATATGCCAAATTTGAGCACAATCGGCCCAGCCGTTCTCGAGATCTGGAAGCGGCACCCTGCACGTGCGCACGTGCAAAATGGGTCCCAACTGACTTGTGCACGGCACCCTACTAAGTATTAACTGCTCCGTAACCGTGTACCAAATTTGAGCGCAATCGGTCCAGCCGTTCTCGAGATCTGAAATCGACCCCTGCACGTGCGCACGTGCAGCAGCACCCCAACTGTGGCACATGGATCTGCAGTGCCTAGTGGGTGCCTACCTACATGCCAACTTTCAGCGCAATCGGCCCAGTAGTTACCGAGATATTGCAACTATTACAAAAGTGACACCTCTTCGTTTTGCACGTGGCACGTGCATAAGGAGTCACCCACATGCATCGGAAATAGTCCAATACTTGGTAGAAGGAATGAAGCTACCCTACAAAAATTACCGCATGTAAATCGGTCAAGTGGTTGCTGAGATATAAGCGTCGCAAAAAAAGTGACCACGGCCGGCCGGCCGGCCGGCCGCTCATACTCAGAAATTTCCGTTAATCTAAGGAAAGACTACGCTCGCTTCGCTCGCTCCGTAATAACCAGTATAACGCCTTTTGGGGCGACTAACGGAGCGAGCGAGAGTGTGGGCCTTGCACGTGCGAAATTGCGAGGGGGTACCTCCAACTGACTTGTGCACGGCACCCTACTAACCGGTCTCTAGCGACGTGCCAAATTTGGGCACAATCGGCCCAGCCGTTCTCGAGATCTGGAAGCGGCACCCTGCACGTGCGCACGTGCAAAATGGGTCCCAACTGACTTGTGCACGGCACCCTACTAACCGGTCCCTAACTGTGTACCAAATTTGAGCGCAATCGGTCGAGCCGTTCTCGAGATCTGGAAACGACCCCTGCACGTGCGCACGCGCAGCAGCACCCCAACTCTGGCACATGGATATGCAGTGCCAAGTAGGTGCCTACCTACATGCCAACTTTCAGCGCAATCGGCCAAGTAGTTACCGAGATATTGCAACAATTACAAAACGGACACCTCTTCTTTTTGCACGTGGCACGTGCATAAGGGGTCACCCACATGCATCAGGAATAGTTCAATACTTGGTAGAAGGAATGAAGCTACCCTACAAAAATTACCGCGTGTAAATCGGTCAAGTGGTTGCTGAGATATAAGCCTCGCAAAAGCGTGACCACGGCCGGCCGGCCGGCCGGCCGCTCATACTCAGAAATTTCCGTTAATCTAAAGGAAAGACTACGCTCGCTTCGCTCGCTCCGTAAACACACGCACATCAGTGACAGCGTACCCACTACCCACTATACAGAACAGGGTCAGGGACAGAAACGGACTGGCACTGACGGAAAACGCATGGACCGAATGAATGACCCATATCCAGATGGATCTTATCACATATGGGTCACGGATTCGTGGAGTCCGGATGTAACTCGTCAGCACTGCATTGTATAAAGTTGTACACGCTGTATTATAAAGTTGTACAAGCTGTATTGTACCAGTATAACGCCTTTTGGGGCGACTAACGGAGCGAGCGAGAGGGTGGGCCTTGCACGTGCGAAATTGCGAGGGGGTACCTCCAACTGACTTGTGCACGGCACCTTACTAACCGGTCTCTAGCGACGTGCCAAATTTGGGCACAATCGGCCCAGCCGTTCTCGAGATCTGGAAGCGGCACCCTGCACGTGCGCACGTGCAAAATGGGTCCCAACTGACTTGTGCACGGCACGCTACTAACTGCTCCGTAACCGTGTACCAAATTTGAGCGCAATCGGTCCAGCCGTTCTCGAGATCTGGAATCGACCCCTGCACGTGCGCACGCGCAGCAGCACCCCAACTCTGGCACATGGATATGCAGTGCCTAGTGGATGCCTACCTACATGCCAACTTTCAGCGCAATCGGCCCAGTAGTTATCGAGATATTGCAACTATTACAAAAGTGACACCTCTTCGTTTTGCACGTGGCACGTGCATAAGGGGTCACCCACATGCATCGGGAATAGTCCAATACTTGGTAGAAGGAATGAAGCTACCCTACAAAAATTACCGCATGTAAATCGGTCAAGTGGTTGCTGAGATATAAGCTTCGCAGAATCGTGACCACGGCCGGCCGGCCGGCCGCTCATACTCAGAAATTTCCGTTATTCTACGTAAGACTCCGCTCGCTTCGCTCGCTCCGTACTAAAGTTGTATCATACTATGTTTAGGTTTAGGTGTTTAGTTAGGTCAGTCGGAAAAACCAGCCTCGGGCCTCATACGGGAACTGTCTAAGCTCCAACTGCCGTTGTTCAATTTCAGACGGATATTGACCAGGTTCTAGATTCTGTAGCTTACCTTCAGACCAATGTTGTCTAGGCTTTGACCAACGCAAATTACCTTCAAACGGAGCTGAGCCGGGCTCCAGCTGTCTTAACTCACCTTCAAGCGCAGGTTGTCCAGGTTCCAGTCGGGACGGAGGGCGGCCACAATCTCAAGCAAGCCAGCCTCATAGTCAGCCGGGTCGAGCTTCGTCTCAAACGACCTCATTGTCTCCGGTTCCTGAAACAGCGACGGTAATTTAGAGCTTCCAAGGGTCACGATTCCATTACATCACATTCTCCGTAGCCTCACCACCACACAATGTCACTCGTCATCAAACAGATTGTGGCACCGCTCTGAAATTGATTGGCTGGAGTGACGAATTCAAAGCAGGCAGCCTAGATGAGACGGGATCACGTGTCTGGGGTTCAAGCAACCTACCGCTGAGCCGAACCAAGATCACTATAATAATAATAATAATAATAATAATATTTATTGCATACCGAAGTCGGTACATATATGTAATACACAAGCAGCACACATACATTACACATCATTGATCATTCATCAATATAAAAAAAAACTAATGCGGAACAGTAAGATCCCTAAAACAACTGGTACGCAAACCGATCTGCGGCACCATCATTCCCCCTCTGCCTTAGGGGATACCCGGGAGGTATGGGCCCCCTGGAGGCATGGGCCATCGCAGTTTTAAAGAAGTGTTGCGTATTTTTACACATTTGACGGCGTAAACTGGTAGCAGCCATTCCGTTATACAACCCACGTGATTTTCAAAATCTTCCTCAGTCTTCTTTGGCAATGAGCGATGATAAAACGTTTTTGACCCCTTCGAGTAAAATACGGTACATACAGAAAATTCGTGATAAATTTGAACCAGGCTCGTTTTATGATGTCAAACCGTCGCTAACATAAAGTTTAAAGCATACAAATTAAGACTGGATAGACAATTTGAAGCTTTCTTGCAAGATTATGGGCTGAGATGCTACGCACATTCTGGCGTCCTAACCGGTAGGTTCGGGCCACCCACCCCGTTGATCTATATTATGAATTATAAGTCGTCCGTGCGTGCGTGCGTGCGTAATCCGTCATGACTTATGTGTCTTATTGCGCCTGAAAGGCGCCGCGTATCGGCGTGAAATTTGGCATGCCAAATCTGTGGGCGTGGACGGCCTTTGTATTCAAATTTGGGCGTGATCGGGCCAGGGGTGCGCCGTCGGCACGTGCAAAAGGGTGCTCCCATAGGCTTAACACGTGGCCGGCGAAAACCGCCAACGGGCGAAAATCGGGCCTGCAGCGCTCCTTTCCCGAGCTTATATCTCGGCAACCGTAAGTCGCAGCCACATGCGGTTTTCACTGATGGATACAGAAGAGATTGGTCTATCGTATGCAATAAGTTTTTTTTCTTAGGTATGAACCGCGTGCAAAGAAATAGCCTCTAATCTCGAGAAAACGGGCATTTTTTTTACACATTTCAGGAAAAACGTTGGCATTTGAAAACGATGCATTGGAATGACACCGGATGCATTTCGCGGACTACAAGAGGATCTGAACTGTTCAGAAAATATATATTTTTGCCCATTCACTCGCACATCTTCATAATTACACGCTTACAAATTGAGGGTTTGACGTGTTACGTTCATGCTCACCTTTGCACCGTCATAATGTATTGATAACGTCGACTTATGGCTATAAATCTACCCCAGATCGAAAGAACACTCTTTTCTGATCAATATCCACCCAAAATATTTTCAAAAAGTCATCAAGGGTTTTAAGAAACAGAGCAATGATTATACCGTTTTTGACGCATTTTTACCGGTTGAGCGGCGGCCGGGCTTGAGAAGGCGGCCAGCGGCGCGGTAATATTACCGTGTGCTTTATATTCGTCTAATACTCGCCACCGCCCCGCTGACAGCGCGGCCGAGTGGATATGATGCCAGTCTAAACACGCGAAGGCGGGTGGTTCGCGGCTGGTCAGCTACAAAGTTTTTCGCCCGAATTCGTCCCTAGGTAGCATTCGGCCAGCCGGCAACCGCCGAGAGGGATGCGAATGTTACATTTTAACGAGCTGGCGTACCGTTAGGGATCGACTCAGCAACAAAGCATTCTTACTCTCAGATCAATATACCGAAAGCTGGCCATCTAGGGTATGAGTACTAAATAGTGTATGGGCAGAGTAGGTATGGGCAGGGTAGGGTATGGTTAGGTGACTGGTAGGATAGGGTAGAAGTTGGGTATGGGCCGGGTAGGGTATTGGCAGGGTAGGGTAATGGCCTAAATAGTGTATGGGCAGAGTAGGTATGGGCAGGGTAGGGTATGGTTAGGTGACTGGTAGGATAGGGTAGAAGTTGGGTATGGCCCGGGTAGGGTATGGGCAGGGTAGGGTAATGGCAGTGTTAGAGTATGGGCAGGGCAGGGTATGGGCAGGGCAGAGTATGGTTAGGTGATGGGTAGGATAGGATAGAAGTTGGGTATGGGCAGGATAGGGTATGGGCAGGTAGGGTATGGGTAAGGACCCAAATAATACCAATAAAACGATTTTTAACCCAGCATAATGAATCCGTAAAACCAATTTAATCAAAACATAAAGTTATAGCGCAAAACATGCCATCTAGTCCTAAGTAAATAAAAAGATGCTTTAATTGAATGTCCCCGTCAATAAGTTTAATTTTTGTCGCGCAAGGTCGAAAATTGAACTTCAAATTTCATTCGAACAGAAAAATATTATTGATCTTATTTCATGGTGCATGATTGAGTTTACCAAAATACATATGGGCCTAAGTGACCTCCATGAGGTAAGCTGTTCGCCGCTTATGCGGTTCCTGGGCTCTAAGAGAGATCAAGGTAGATACCAGCTACGAGTATTATTCTCATTGTCGAGAAAAGAATATGAAACATGGCACCGGCCCATGCCTCCCGGGACATGGCCCATACCTCCCGGGACATGGCCCATACCTCCCGGGCCATGGCCCATACCTCCCGGGCCATGGCCCATACCTCCCGGTGTATTTTAACGGATCGAAAAAACGCATGATTTATTGAAAGTTATCTCGAGACAAAATGGTTGATCCCAGATGCCTAATATCAGGCACACGTTGCAGGCGAAAGGCAATTTCACGTACACAGAGTGAAAAACCGGGTCTAGCCACCGCCAACTGAAAGAAAATTGCCTTTTCACAAAACCGGCCCATACCTCCCGGGTCTCCCCTACTACATTTTCGATGCGCGCAACAAACACATTATTTAGCTCAAAAGGGGAGATGGCGGACAAATCCGGCCTACAAATTTCGAATCCGGCAAACAAATCGCGGACAAATCCGGCGGACAAATCCGGCAAGCAAGTTTCATCACTGCTATAGTATAGACTATAGTCAGACTCAGATAGCTCTCCATCTATGCGTCCCACTCCTCACCCACCCCTCACTGGCTCGGCGCCGCCGCTCACCATTCCGCTGTATGAGCTGGTGCACCGTGCGTGAGGCAGTCCGGACACCACCGTACTAACTGCCGAGCCACTGTTGCCTGCTCTGCTGCGGTGGCGAAACAAGCACGGAGCCGACTGCCCGCCGCCGCCGCCCCCGGCGAGGTCGAACAGAGGGCGGCATGACGTGAACCCGTATTTACGGCGCGAGCGGACGCGTATTTATCGGCTGTGTACTACCGATGTGCGGATGGCGAGGCCGGGCGCCCGATGTCGGTGTCACACATTTGGTGAACAGCAGGTGCATGGTGAGAACAAAGAGCAAGGAGGAAAAGCAAAAGAAAGAATGGAGGTCACAGCCGGAAAAAGCAAGATGAACACAACTTGTCAGCTAGGCCTTGAGTCGGCTGATGTTAGGACAACACTATTCGACAGCCACCCTTGCAGCCATTCCTAACTCAGGAACCACTGAACCGATCGGGACGAGCAAAACACAATTTGAATCAGGGGGTACGATTTTATCAGCCGTTTCGACTTTCGAATATGGTGACCTCAAGTGACCTCGGTGACCTCGAAAGGTCAACTTTCCGTTTTCGCCTATTGCAGCCATTCAATAACTCAGGAACTACTAGGCCGATGGCGACGAAAACACCACCAGTCGATTCAGCGTGTGCAATTTCATCAGCCGATTTGCATATGGTGACCTCAGGCGACCTCGGTGACCTCGAAAGATCAACTTTACGTTTTCACCTATTGCAGCCATTCTATAACTCAGGAACTACTGGGCCGATCGCGACGAGAACACCACCAGTCGATTCAGCGTATGCGATTTCGTCAGCCGTTTCGAATATGGTTACCTCAGGTGACCTCGGTGACCTTGGGGGGTCACATGACGGGACCGTTGTCGCATATTGCAGCCATTCTATAACTCAAGAATTACTGGGCCGATCGCGACGAAAACACCACCAGTCGATTCAGCGTTTGCGATTTCATCAGCCGTTTCGACTTTCGAATATGGTGACCTCAGGTGACCTTGGTGACCTTGGGAGGTCACATGACTGTTGTCGCCTATGACAGTCATTTTATAACTCAGGAACCACTGCACTGGGCCGATCGAGACGAAATTTCATAGACATTCATTTTTGCTCAAACTGAACCATGTCCATGTGACATCACTTTTATGTCAATTCATTAACTTTTGTATAGGTGGGAGGGTCCCTTTAAACAGACAGGTGTTTGACATGCCTCCACCCTCAGCGCGGACGGCGGATATTTAGGTACGGAAGACCTTGCTAAACATCGCTTAGCGTTGTGCAGTACTTAATCCTGCAGGGGGGGGGGGGAGGGGGCGTGCCCACTGCGGGATCGACGGGAGTGAGAGCGCAGAAGACCTGGCGATTTTGACTTTTGGAGAAGCAAGCGGCCGTCCTGCCGGCTGCTGGAAAGGTCATCTTATGATTGTTGCGGTTGAGGTGTCGGACGTAATGCGTGTTGATGAAAACAGCCCGCGAAAGGCGTCGGTGAAATTGTTCCCAGTTTTGGAATTTGGATAGGTAGGTACGCTGTTCCCATAATGAGGAACGCTGGCAATGCCAGTGTACGAAAGCGTTCCCAAATTTGGGCACATGGTCCGGACGGTGGACTGCTTTAGAAATAGGGGCAGGCAGGCAGGACCGCAGGCAGGTGGTTACTGGTGGTGGCTCCGACCCTCTCCACGTGTCCCACGGCGTAGCCCAGGGATCCATCCTCGGTCCGATCCTGTTTCTCCTCGTGACCAACGACCTCTCCAGCTTCCTTACCC